GCTTGAATTTGGTTATTGAATGGTTGAAAATTGAATGGATGAATAATTTTGTATATGCACAGGTTACAGGTGGCACAAAAAATATTACAGAACAAATTATAAAAACTAAATGAGACCTTTTGGTGACTAAACAAATATCACAGGTTGGTTTTTGGCTACTAAAATTTTAGTCACCAATTGTCAAAAAGTGAACCTTTTGGCTACTAAATTTTTAGTTGCCAATTGTAAAAAAGAAACTTTTGGCTACTAAATTTTTAGTCGCCAATTCTAAAAAAGTGAAACTTTTGGCTACCAAATAGTTAGTCGCCAAACATACATGCTCAATTGGCTACTAATTAATTTAGTCACTATAAGTAAAAAATATATATATTTAATTATATTTAAAAAAATATGGCGACTAAAATTTTAGTCGCCGATAGGTCACTTTTGGCTACGAAAAAAATTTTAGTCATTGATTATCTTCCCCGACGAACTATTGGCGACCAAATATATTAGTCGCCAAAAGTAAAATTTCTTGTAGTGATATAAAAGACTAGACACATATATTTCAAATAGTTGAACAAAACTTTACATGGTTTTGTTAGTGGAACCTGCATTTAAAGAAATTAATTGTCCATGTAAGTTCCATATACATTTATGTGTTTGATTTCTATGTGCGGCTTGTGGCATTCATGTATTCAAAGGTTTAAAAGAATGTTAGTTATACAAAAAATTTCAGTAAAGCTACTATTTAAGGATTTCAATAATACTCCATACAAAAAAGTATATCAATCGATATTCTAGATTTTTTTTTTTTTTAACAGCCAAAAGGAAAATTTATTGATAATGATCAAGCAAATACATAGACAACTATCAATAAAAAGAAAGCCCGAGCCCAACTAAGTTGGCACCGAGAAACAAACAAAGAAATAAAAATCACCACCCACCCACAGTTGGTAAGACACTAACCTAAAGCACAAGGGAGAACTATATCAACAGCCCAAAACAATTTTACTCCCCAAGCTGCATCTGATTTGGCACAGATTGGTCAAGAAGTCCAGAATAGTGAAGTGAGAACCCTTAAATCTTTGATTCAACCACATTGCAACTCTAATCTAAATCAAATCACAAACTTCTCCCAACTTAGGTGTAGCAGACCCAAAAATGCACTTATTTCTAAGTTTCCACAATGACCACAAGACTGCCAAGGAGATGACCTTCCAAATTAATTTTTCTTTTCTGTTCAATTGATCACAATCCCACCACTGAAGTACAGCTTCTATAGAATCTGGAAGAGCTCCTTGCATCTCCCATCAATTCAACATTGCAGCCCATTCCTTCTATGAAAAATGGCAATGCAGCAGCACATGACAAATCGATTCAATCTCTATTTTACAAAAAACACAGAGTGCTGGAGCATTAGCTTGAATCACTCCAATTTTCTAAAGAAATTCTGATGACTTGACTTTCTTTTTCCAGGCTAACCAATAGAAAAATTGAACTTTTGGAGGTGCAAATCTATTCCAGATTAACTTACAAGTATTAAGGGGTGGACCAAGGGACACAAGTTCACTGCTATAGGCAAAGGAGACAGAAAACATACCAGAATCTGCAGCCAACCAGACTAGTTTGTCTTCCAGATCATCACATAAACCAGAAAAAAATGGCAGAAGCACTTTGAGTCTGATAACTTCCCTATCTTCCCACTCATATAGCCTTCTTCTAAATTGAAGGTTCCAATTCCCTGAAGCAACACTTCTGTCATACAATGATCTCAGGGATTTCTCCTTATCTAGCACCAATCTATAAAGAATAGGAAATTCAACTTTGAAGCGGTGATTGCTGCACCAATAGTCTTTCCAGAAGTTGGTTCTTATACCATCCCCTAGCTTGATATGAACATTGTTATAATAGAACATCGATAGATTGTTATTTCTTTCTAGTATGGAGATTATGCCTTTCCACACACAAGACTACCTACTGCTTGAAGTAGAAGAGGGACACCATCCTTTAACATCCAGATTGTACTTGCTGCATATGATCTTTCTCTACAAAGCATCTTTCTCTTTGCCAAACCTCTACCACCATTTTAATAACATACAATCATTGACCAACCTGATTCTCCTAATGCCTAGGCCTCCCTGTTTCACACTCTTTGCTAAGTCATCCCATTTAACCAGGTGAATTGGTTTTCTTGATTGTGACCCACCCCAAAGAAAACTGTCTTGCAACTTCTCATATTCCTTTGCTACCCCTGCAGGCATTTTGAATAGAGATAAATAGAACAATGGTAAGGCAGAGGTTACAGACTTTAGTAGAGTGAGCCTCTCTAAGAATGAAAGCAACTTCCTTTTTCATCCTGCTAGTCTGCTTCTGACTTTATCAAGAACTGGTTTCCAAGCTAGCTTGTTATTTGGATTAGCCCCCAAAGGCATACCCATGTACTTCAAAGGAAATGCCTTGAAATTGCAATGTAGTTTTGATGCAAAACAGGATAAAGACTCCTCTAGAACATTAATTCCATACACCTGACTCTCATGACAGTTTGGTCTACATCATACAAATTTCGAATGCATCTTTACTTTCGAAATATTTTTTGAAATAAATATTCCACGTAAATAGCATTTTTCATTTTATTTTTGATCAACAATAATATTACTGAAGTTATTCAGACAACCATGAGAATTTGAGAGGATCATGGGGCTCACCATGGGTTGAGTTTCGATAATTCAAATATTTTATTTTGTAAAGTTCTTGAAAAAAAATAGATTGTTCTGATAATCATAACCATTTTATTTTATTGTGTTTGTCTCCCAAAACATAGATATAATAAAATGAAATTGTTATGATTATCAAATCAATCTATTTTTTTTATATCAAAACGGGATACGTCGTGAGCTCCACAGACAACTCAAGTTCTCTCAATATATTTATTTATTTTTGTTTAATTTCTATGTGCTTATCCATTTTGGCTTGTGGCACGCATGTAGTCAAATATATATATATATATATATATATATATATATTCTGAATATGTATGTCAAGATGTAATGTAAAAATATTAAACACCACAAGAGATGGAAGGATTTAAGTTGAAATCCTCATTTGGGGAGAAAATCATGGCACAAGCCAAACAATCCACTAGTCATGAAGAAATTACATTGTACAAGTAATGTGACTTACAACCACTTACCAAGGTAGAACCTACAACTTGTTAACTCAAAACCTTTTGTTCCATCCAAATCTCCACAATGATGGCCACAATCAGGGATGGAACCAGGATTTCTTTTTCGGGGGGACCAAAATATATATATTTTTTTAAATTTTATATCAATTGATATAAACAATTCTATTTCAATTAAAGAATGAAAAATAAATTAATATTTAATACTAAATTAATACCTAAAAAATAATATAAGTTTCTATTTGAACAAAAGAATACAATTTGTTAAAAAAATCATCATCCATTTTGTTACAACACGTGATTTTAACAATTTTCTTCATAATTATAGTAGTAACTGAAAGAGTAAACACAAATGCAATACTTTGTAAACAAGTGGATAGATTGTTTCATTGTTTAGTCCTTCTCAACCATTGACGCAAAATTTTTGTAATCTCTTTAGTTCTCAATTGTATTTTCTTATGATCCGTGAAGTTTTGAAGATAAAACTTGTCTGCAATCAACTCTCTTTCACTTTAAATTTTTTATTTAGTCTTTTTTTTTATTCTAATAAAATTTGCTCTACATTTTTTGTATAACAATAATATTCATGGTCATAATAGGCAATGTCATGGAAAGAATGACTCAAATTTATTTGTGAGATGTCAAGCCGTTGAAAAATTTGTCATTTAAATGAGACTAGTAATCTTCCTTTTGGTTATTCCAAATCATAATGCACAATATGCACTTATTTGAGTATTTCTCTTTTTCGTATGTGTAATGTGAGTTATCTAATTTTTCACGTAATAATTTACACATGCATCAACATAGTGTGAAATAACATTTCTCTTTTTATATCCTTATGTTTTGGTTCATTGATTTGGAAAGAGAAATAAAGCCGTCTTCTCAAACCACATTAACGTCAATTGAGGCCGGCAGTACTACCTCAGGCCTGGGTTGAGCAGCATGAACAATGTAGTGGCTCGGGTCATACTCCCATTGACCAGCACCTCCCTCTAAGGTCAAAACCTCCTCTTCTGCAGACGTTGTCACCACTGATTTGTGAGGCTCAGGTTGTTGATTGGATGTGTCCATCACGGAAAAGTTTGTGCCTTCAAGAATGAACAACATCAGCTTTGGTAGGTGTGAGGGGGCGATATAGATGCTGCAGCTATAAGAGGTGGGTAGTGTATGGATAAGGTGGATGTTTCTAGGTGAGGAGACTTAGTTGTGGGCAGGGAGTGGGTTGGTGGTTACATTTGGTTTTTGGGGTGTAGTGATGACCTTGTTGTCGATGAGATCTTGAACTCATGACGTAAGCGGAAGCATCGGTCAGTTTCGTGACCGTACTGTTGATGAAAAGCATAGTATTTGGTGGGATCGTCCTTAGGTGGAAGAGGGTTCAGAAGTGGTCGAGGTTCTAAGGGTTTCAGGTGCCCCTTCTTGATTAGCACCTACATGGCTTTGGATAGGGTCATGTAGAGCTCGTTGAAAGTTCTACTTGGATGTCTGATAAGGTTAGATGATGTTTGTCGGCCTATGTTGGCGAAGGGGTCTGTAATTTTGGTTGTGGTGACAACACTTACTTTTGGCGGCCTCACAGTTGTGCTACCCTGGCAGCATTGGAACTGCGAACAAGCAGCCTCTTAGCCGGCGCTTTGTCATCAGTGATGATCCCCTACTTCATGGCATCTTTAATTTGAACCCACATTTCATAAAGTTCTTTGAAGGTAAATAAGGGGAGAACAATCATTTTCTGCAGCAGCTTGCCATGCAAGTTCCGGACAACCATTCTGATCTGATCCTTTTTTGAAGGTCTAGTGGTCATCTACTTAGCATGAAAAATAATACAAACCCAAAATATTCAATGGAAGGTTGAGATTTATTTTGAATGTAGGCTCACCATTCAAGAATTGAATCATACATCTACTAAGGTCACACATAACAAGGGGCTTACAATAGTTATAACGGCGGTGATGAGTGATGAGTCAAGAATCAAGCACTCCGACGAGATTTAAGGTCATTGATCAAAGCAATGACATCGGCATGAGATGAGCCACCATAGTCTACAGCTTTCTTGGCCTTCTCTCCAAACTCTTTTGCTCGGATTCTCATCTTCTCCGCTTCATCACCACCACCACCACCCATTAGCCATTTTACCGCCTCCTCCACTTTATCTCTTGCCACTGTCACCTTTGGTTCCCAAAACAACCACATCCACTCCTCGTTCCCCACTCGAATCCCAGTTTTCAACACATCTGTGACAAGGCTTTCAATGAAGAAATGCTCTGCTGTGATTGGCCATGTGATCATTGGAACACCCGCTCCTATCCCCTCGATGGCCGAGTTCCATCCACAATGAGTCAAAAACCCTCCAATGGCTTGATGTTCTAAGATTAGCAATTGTGGAGCCCAACTCCTTACAATCAAACCTTTCCCGGACTTCATCATCCTCTCCTCAAATCCATCCGGAAGCTTCTTACCTCCGCGACCCTCTCTCCCTTCGTTATTTTTTTCATCATCCCCATATTCTAACATATCTCTGGCCACCCAAATGAACGGGCAGCCAGAAATCTCGAGACCGTGAGCAATCTCGAGGAATTGTTCGGGAGCCATACGAACTTGGCTCCCGAAACTAACATAAAGTACTGACTTGGGTTCTTTAGAGTTGAGCCAGTTCAAAACTGTACCTCCATCAATGGAATTCTTTTCGCCCCTCTCGGTCTTTTGTTCATTTTCTTTGTTAAAGAGACACACAGGTCCTGCGAGCCATAACTTTTTGCCCACTTCATTCTTGAAATACTTGGCATAAGCTGGCTCCAAGTCGTAAAAGCTGTTGACTAAAACCCCATAGGTCTTTGACTCGGCCTCTTGCATGTTGTCCTGAAGATGTTCCAAATCAGCTTTGGCTGTATACCAGAATGGGAGCTGACGCTTCGAAAATTTGATGTTGTCGTCGGGGAGACCCGGCAAAACAAAGGTCTCTGTATCAGAATTTACCTTCTCATGCGGTGCATGGCGTTTAAGGCTATCGTCACAACAAAGTGGAAACAAACCTGTAACATGGAACCATGGTTTGAAAAAAAAACCTGCATCAGACTTTACTCTTGTTTGATTTGTTTTTTTAATTGTTAAGTTTTCGAAAAATTATAGACTATTTTTGCAACTTTTAATCTATAGTAAACTCTTCTCATTTTCCTTTGTCTTTGTTAAAAAAATAATGAAAAAAAAAATTCACTTAATAATAATAATAATAATAATAATAATAATAATAATAATAATAATAAAGAAATAAAAAGGTCAGTAGCAACCAAATGATCAACTTGGTGTCTTCCGTTCATAAAGGGTAACGGAAAATTTGGGCACATCAATACATTCACAAAATTCATTGTGGGGTTGAGGTGGTGTGAGAGTTGACTATTCTAATCATTTTTTTTTTAATATTTTTTTATAAAGGAATATGTTAAAAAATAGAGAAAATAATATGATTAGGTATTTTAATTAATTAATTAATTTATTTATTTTTTATCCAAAAAAAACTTCAACCCAAACGGTAAATGTGAGCCACACAAAATTTGAACCATACATTATTTTTTTGAATATTTTTCTGTACATGAGTTCTGTACAAATATGTATAGGGAGATTTTGTTAAAACTCACTCATAATAAAATTTGGGTAAATTACACTTACTTCCCTTGATATTTTTGACAAATACAGGAACCTCCCTTGTGATTTAAATAATTACAGTAACCTCTCATATTTTACCTGACATTCTCCAGATTCTTTTATTATTTGACTTCCATTTACTTGCTTCACAAAACCTGTTGATGTCATCAAAGCCATGAACTAAAATGCCCATAATGTCCTCAAGTGCTCTCAACCCATCTATATATACCAATATCAAATGTTGGTCGGTCATCCACCCAGATGTTCGACCGAACGTCTAGAACAATGCTTTCTTTTTCTTTTTCTTTTTCATTCACAATTGCAACCTTTTATTTAAAAACATAACAACATGTAGGTTATCCACACCTATTAAAATTTATTCTTATTTACTTATTTTATAGTATTTCTTCAATCAAAATTTCAGTTTACAGTAAGATGGCATAAACAATTAATTAGCCAAACAATAACAAAAAAAACATGTTTGGTTCTCTTTTAGAATCACAATTCCAATTAGAAATTTTCAAAAAAAATTTCAAAACTCATAACTAAATGCACAACTCAAAACTCAATTCAAAACTCTTTTTAAAACTCAAAACCAAACTTTTTTCAAAACTCAAAACCAAACTTTTTTCAAAAATCTATTTTAAAAGAAAAAAAATTTTAAAAAAACATTTTTTATTTTATTTTTTAAAATTATTTTTAGAATCATTATTTAAGTATGGAGTCGTATTTTGACTTATGAGTTTTGAATTGAGTTTTTAAAAGAGAAAATTTATTTGGTTATAAGTTTCGAAAAAAAAGTTTTGAATTGTATTTTGAAATTTTTTGGATTTAATTTTTTAGGATAAATATTTTATATTTTTGTGGGAGCCGAATAAATAGAAGAGTCGGAAGGTGCGTACCCCAGAAATTAGACATTATTCGGCTCCATATTGCGTGACTAGGATGTCGAATACGTTAGGAAGGCTGAATAGCCGGAGATCAGTAGCTCCGAATAAATAAAAGGGGAATGGGATAAAAGTAGGCTCAGGCCCCGAGGCTCAGAAAACAAGTATAAATACAAGAACCACAGATTTAGAAAGGTATGTAACAATCACTTTTTGCTTAACTTAGAAGACAAGCTATTTTGAGTACAAGAACTGACTTGTCCGTCGGAGTGCTAATTCCGGCACCCCCGACCGGAGTGTTTGTGTCTTTTCTGGTGACTAGCTGAGGATCACTAGCGTCTCCCAGGATCTGAAGAGTATTTCCAAAACCACTTCTCCACAATTGGCGCCGTCTGTAGGAATACTCAAATACATCCATGGCAGGCGTGACTGAAGATCCTCCGATAGCCACTGACGAGACCACACAGAAAGATGACCTCACTCCAGTAAACTCGCTTGGACCAAAAACCATCGCAGCAAGACTTGCCTTGGACCTCTGCTCATCTTCAAACCCAACGCAAAAGACAATACAAGCGACCATGGCACAAGCTAGGCAAACCAAACAGAGGTTGGACAACATCATCGCTGAGAACGAACGCCTTCGTCGCGATCTGGCCCCGGAAATAGCAAAATCCAAACAACCAGTGCGCCAGGCTTCTGAGTGACCCCCGAGGGCAAATGATCGACGATCTCGAGCCCGACAGCAAGAAAATGATGGCCACTGTACCTCAACAGATCATCTGGAGGAGTTGGCAAAGGACGAACGTCTCCAACAATGCGTCCGGAGGAGTGCAATCAAAACACCTGCCCTTCCGAAGGATGCATTTCCGCTTGACACCGTCCACATGATATACAGCCTGCCAGCAGCCCCGGCCGTGCATGCGATCCAATCACATCCAGGCCCCCAACAGCAACTCGCGCCCGCAAAGAGGCTTCGAGAAACACCAAGTATCACCTTTGACGACTCTGATTTGATCAACCTAACACTCCCTCACATCGATCCATTCGTTGTTGAGCTACGTGTAAACCGTTTCACCGTCGAACGCGTTCTTATCGACCAAGGCAGTACTTCGGAGGTTATGTATTACAAAACCTTCATCAAACTCGGATTCAACGAGTCAGACCTGACTCCGGCTCCTTATCCACTATTGGGCTTCAATGCCAATCCAGAGTACCCATTGGGAAAGATCAGCTTACCCGTTCGAGCAGGTTCCAGAACGATGGATGTGGAATTCTTGGTCGTCAGGCTACCATCGCCGTACAATCTCATCATGGGGCGATCGTAGTTGCATACCTTGCAGGCCGTCCCAAGCACCTATCATCAACTACTACGTTTCCCAACAGAACACGGCATTGAACAAATCCGCGGCTTCCAGAAATCGACACAAGCATGTTATCTCCTTGCCGCCAAAACGCCAAAGGAACTGCAAGTAAACTCCATTGAGGTGTCGAATCAGGAGATCCTTGGTGACATTGGGCGGCATCCAAATGAGAAGGCCACGAAAGGTTTAGACCGAGTTGACATCGATGGAAGCCCAGACAAGTTCTTCATGATCGCCGCCTCTCTGAATCAGGCCGACAGGCAGCAGATGATCTCTTTCTTGCTCAACAACCTCGACATCTTTGCGTGGACTCTGTACGAAATGCCGGGAATAGACCCGTCAATTACACAGCACCATCTGAATGTCTCCCAAATGTAAGCCGATCATTCAGAAAGGCCGGCGGTCAGCCGCGGAACACACTGTCGCCGTTGTTGAGGAGGTAGACAGACTGCTTGACGCCGGGGCAATTAGAGAAGTCACTTACCCTACGTGGCTCTCCAATACAGTGGTGGTGAAGAAGAAAAATGAGACTTGGCGAGTGTGCGTCGATTTCACGGATCTGAACAGAGCTTGCCCCAAAGATTGTTTTCCTCTACCTAGAATCGACCAGCTTGTCGATGCGACGGCACACCATCAACGCATGAGCTTCCTTGCTACTTACAGAGGCTACCATCAAATCGCCATGCATCCAGATGACCAGGACAAAACTACATTCCTCACCCCAAGAGGAACCTCCTGCTACAAAGTTATGCCTTTTGGGCTGAAGAATGCAGAGGCAACCTACCAAAGACTGGTGATCGCCATGTTCAAAGAGCAACTTGGCCACACTATGGAAGTATACATCGACGATATGGTGGTCAAGTCCAAAGAAGAACAGAATCATATAGCCGATCTAGAAAAGACATTCAGCATCTTACGCAAATATAGAATGAAACTGAACGCTTTCAAGTGTGCGTTCGGAATCGGCTCTGGCAAATTCCTGGGTTACATTGTCAATCACCGAGGAATCGAAGCCAACCCGAGGCAAGTCACAGCAATCTTGGAACTCGGCTCCCCCCGTTCAGTAAAAGAAGTCCAAAAGTTGATGGGGATCGCCGCTGCACTCAACAGGTTCATCTGCCGGTCTACAGATCGCTGCCAACAATTCTTTCAGACACTACGACAGGGTAAGGCTTTTGAATGGTCTGCCGAATGCGAAAGAGCTTTCAACGGACTCAAGACCTACCTCTGCTCAGTACCTCTCTTGACAACAACCATCGCTGGTGACCCGCTCATTCTATATCTGGCAGTTTTCGATAAGGCCGTCAGCGCCGTACTGCTAAAAGAGGAGAAGGGGGAGCAACGGCCAGTGTATTATGTGAGCAAGGCAATGGTTGACACCAAAACACGCTACCTTCTGCTAGAAAAACTCATCTTAGCCCTAGCCATAGCGGCAAGAAAACTGATGCATTACTTCCAGGGACATAGCATTGGGGTGCTAACAGATTATCCCCTCCGATCAGTACTACGGAGTGCAGAAGCATCAAGACGTGTTTCAAAATGTAACCCAGGAATACATGAAAGGGTATGTGGCATCGCTCCCAAGTTGAAGACTTCTTGTATGAAATACATGAAAGGGTATGTGGCAGCCATGCTTGGGGCAGATCACTTCCTCATAGGGCCATTACTCAGGGGTACTGGTGGCCCTCATGCAGAAGGATGCTGAAGCCTATGCCAGAGAGTGCGAAAAGTGTCAGAGGTTTGCACCTTTAATACATCAACCAGCAGCAGACTTGAACCTAGTGTCCAACCCTTGGCCATTTGCCTAGTGGGGCATGGATCTTGTTGGACAACTGCCCCAAGCAACTGGGCAAAGGAAGTTTATGCTAGTAGCAACTGATTACTTCACAAAGTGAGTAGAAGTTGAACCCCTTGCAAAGATTCACCAGGTTTGGGATTCCAAGGGAAATAATAGTAGATAATGGCATATAGTTTGACAGTAAATTAATAAAAAGCTTTTGTACAAAGTACAAAATCAAGAGCTACTACTCTACTCCAAGTTTCCCTTAGAGTAATGGTCAGGCAGAAGCATCCAATAAGGCTATCTTGGATAGGATCAAAAAGAGGCTAGAAGCATCAAAGGGAAAATGGGTGGAAGAGTTGCCCAATGTACTCTGG